TTAAAAAAAAAAAAAGATTTTATTTATTTGACAGAGAGATAGAGCACAAGTAGGCAGAGAGGCAGGCAGAGGGAGAGGGAGAAGCAGACTCCCCGCTGAGCGGGGAGCCCAACTCGGGACTAGATCCCAGGACCCTGGGATCATGACCTGAGCCGAAGGCAGATGCTTAACCCACTGAGCCACCCAGGTGCCCAGGGAGGGCCCAATTCTTACCAGATATCCTGCCACACTCAGAGACAGGTCTCCCAGGACCAGCACAGTATGTAGCTCAACCAAAGTCCAAAGGGGAAACCTCTGCTGCCATACTTGCTGCCCATCATGCTGATGGCCAGGCCTGGGGAGGTCAGCGCCAGTCTTTTGCCCTCAGACCCATGGCCAGGCCTCCAAACCTGGCTTTTGGCTGCTGAGGTTCTATGACAGTTATTTCAGCACAGATCACTGCTACTCCGCTTCCCTTTATCAAGACAGCCATTAAGAGAAATATGAAGCTGATTTCATCAATTAGGCCTACCTACAGCCCCAACCTGGGAGTAAGCTTGAAATCACTCCTGGGTCCTCTTCAGGCCCTGAATCATTTTTCAACTGTGAAAATCAGAATGGGATCCTGGCGGACTCACTTCTAAATCTAAGTGGTATCAAACAAGGCTGGATCCTATTCCCATTCAGTGTTCTCAGGCATCTCTGGTGTATGTAGCCCCAGCCGGGGCTTCTGGGGATACTTCCTGTCACCCTTGGCTTCAGGCCATCCTGCCTAGCAGGTAACCACATCCCAACTGTACAGATGGGAAAACAGGCTCTGTGGGTCAGAAGCCCGCTCAGGGCCAAACATTTAACTCCAAATCTGCCTGTTCCACCTTCTTTCCCCTGTGCCCTAGTCTTTGTGATGTCCTTGGAGATGACCTTGTCTGGCTCCCAAGTGAAGTGGGAGTGTGTCCTTCAGCTTTTGCCAATAGGAAGCCTCTTTGCTGACAGCAAGTAACCAGAAGCCAGGACCCTGTGAAAGGCCCTCAGTGAGCACTGACTGATTTAAAACTATGTTCTCAGACACTGCAGGCCCCCAGATGGTTGTATTTCCAGATCTTTAATCTCTGGGAGATGTTTCTTGTGGTCAGTCACCCATGTGCCTGGCACAGCTGAATGGCTCAGTGTTACTCCTTTGAAGTCCTACCTGCCAATCTCTGCTACGACAGTTCCCCTCTTCCACAGGTTTCTCCCACACCTTCCACCTTTGTCCTTCAAAGCCAGCTCAAGGGCTGCCTGCCCTGTGAAGCCCTCTCTGGTTGGATCCAGGGAGAATTCATCACCTGCCCTTCCTGCTCCCATAGCCCTTGCTTGTGCCGTTCCTAAAAGTATATTCAAATCAGCCTCATATATTAAAAAACAGAAAGTTGGGGTGCCTGGCTGGCTCAGTTGGTGGAGCATGTGACTCTTGCTCTCGGGGTTCTAAATTCAAGCCCCAAGCTGGGAGGACAGATTTCTTAAAAATCTTAAAAAAAAAAAAAAAAAAAAGTCAACTGCCAATGCACAAAACTGGTTTAATTGGTTTACTGGTAAAGCTGTTGAAAAGATTAAAGAGTTTCAGCTATATGCAAAATCAGTATTACTTTCAAAAAAGCTAGAGCAACTGTGTGGCATGAGTGGAAACACAGTGTCCTGAAAAAAAGAGATGAAGGCGGAATTACCTTCTGCCCTAATCATACAGGTGACCAACCATCAGCCTGAGGTGCGTTCCAGGAGATGGGACTTTCAATCCTAAAAACAAGACAGTCCCGGGAAAGTCAGGACAAGCTGTCACCTTACTACCACGTAATCCAAAGTATGCCCAGAAGACGGTGAGCAGGATATACTCATGAATTAAAATCACTGTGATACTACAAGAAATGACCGAAGCAACTAGAGTTACTCAGAGTGTTCTAGTGTGAAGGGAGATCATTGTAACAAGGATTAGAATTATTCTGTGTACCTTTAAAAGACAAAATTAAGACCCAAAGACAAAATTTAGAGCACAGGTAATTTTGATGCAATATAAAGGATATGCTGGTAATTATAGATGCATTATCACTGGAAGTGTTAACCATGAGGAATTTTTGTAGGAGAGAGACTTTACCCTGCAAGTGCCCGTCAACTCTACAGGCCCGTGATCCTACACACTCAGTTACACAGGGATTTACTATCTAATGACTGAATTTATGTCCAACATTATGTTTCTCAATAGCCTTTTTTTTTATTTTGTTCTACTTGCCCTCCACCAGAATATGGGGTAGGCAAGATAAAGAGATCAAACAGAAATCTAATGGTCTTATCTACAACTCTAAGTTTCAGACTGCGTTTCTTTTTTCCTTGAAAAATTCTAAGGAAGGGATATGACAGAAGAAATGGAACTAAAACATAACCTCCAACATGAAGCTGAGTAACAGCGGAAGGCTGTAAATACTCACCCATGCCAGATTTACCATCTGGGTATGTGTACACTTGTCCATTGTTTTTGATAATTGGGAGGTTAGAAGGTAAAGGAGCAACTTCTTCTTCACTCTCCTCAGAGCTGGAGCTGCTACTCGTGTCCTCACTGCAGCTATCATAACCGTCAAACATCCCGAATGAGTCTCTTCTTTTCCTTTCGGAGCGTGAAGAACGTTCAGTCTTAAAAGTAGAAGAAATCAATAATACATGACACAGCACAGATACACCCCCCACCCAAAGGAACTTAGTTCCAATTATGGTAAGTGGTATTTGAAAAATGAAGATCTAGCCCTCAGAAATAATACATTTTATTCTGTAATGAAATGTTTGTTTCAAAACAGAGGCTTTCCTTTCTACAAGGTGCAAATTTATTAGCTACCATGTTAGCTAATAAGAATGTCAACGGTGACGGCAAGAACACTGAGTGGGATCTGAAGATCACCACGTAATTTAAGCTTTGCCATTAACTAGGTGGGTTATTTCTCTATTAAAAGGAAATTAAATTAGATGATTTTTCTTTTGAAATTGTGGTGAAATATACATAAACAGATGATTTCTCAATTTGCCTTTCAATTCTGAAACTGTAGATTTCTACAATTTAGAGCATCCAGGAAATATATAGATGCTTTTAAAAATCATTGCTAAGAGCTCTGGAGAGATTGAGGATTTTAATTTTAGAAATAATTTATAGATATTAACTATTTAAAAATGATAGAAGATAACATTTGTACATAGGTAACCCTATCTCATTTTTTTCCTTAGCATAAACAATGGTTAAAAAACCTCCAAGTATCTCAAGCTAAAAACATTATTTTCTTTTCAAAGGAAAAGCAAAGACACTATTATCATCTTCAGTGAATGCCACACATTTGCTCCTCCAAAAAGATATGCCCTCTCTCAAAGCCACCCAAACCCCCAAAAAGTACTATTGCCAACTCCAACCTTTCCTGAAACACACTGCAAAACTTCAAGTTTAATGAGAAGAAAGCAAAAAGAAAATAGGAAAATAAAGAGAAAAAAAATCTTCAGGAAAAAATAATCTATAAGGAAACAAAAGCAACATAGAGAGCAAAAAAAAAAAAACCTTCAAAAAAAATTGATAATAAACACACACAGTGAATTACAACTAGAGTGAAAAGTATCAACCAAAGAATCTTTAGTTTGGCACCCATCCTTATTCTTTTGCTTCAGTTAGTATTTTTTGGTATCATTTTACACTTTATGCACAATTTCTTTCCTGGCTAGTCTAACTTCCTACCATGACCAATAACAAAGCTGAAATCTGTTATCGAAAGCCTGACAAAATAAAACCAAGCAAATGCATCTCTTAGTTTGAGAGACTAGCTATTATTTTCAGGTATGCAGGTATGGAACATTGTACTAAAATGGGAAACTGATTTTCACATGTATCAGGTGTAACTATAAAAGGGACAAAATCAGGTTCTTTTAATCCACACAATGGAAATATTTTATACCCAAATGAATACTCTCTTTTAAGAAGGCCCCTTAGGAGGCTCTGTGCCTGCTACAATGTGGTTGCTACAACCTCCAACTTCTTCTAGTATTCTTCTTTTAGATCCAATTTTAAAAAGAAAACCGTACGGTGTGTGCTTACTTTGTAATTATTCCGTTTCCCTCAATAGTTTTCCCTAGCTTGATTACCCATCTTATTTAACAGATCTGGTTCTGAGTAACTTGCAGGTATTTAAATTCAAAGAATCAAAATCTGCTACCACCAGATTTCAAAAGAAAAAGATTCTGAAGGCAATGCCAAAAGAAAGTCTAGCAACATTTTGAACTGGTAAGGTGATAAAGAATGGGATAGTCCTTGTTTGAGTGAAGGGTGGTGCTAACAGCACAGAATTTGGACAGCCCTAGGTTTGAGTCTCAGCGTTACCATTCATTAGCTATGAACTTGGCTGTGAAACAAGTTATGAGCTTCTTCTCTTATTCATTCAACATTCAACTATTTATCAAGCATTTGTGTGTCTCACAGTAGCAGAGGCTAAAGATAAAGCCGGGTACAGAGCAGACAAAATTCATGCTTCTCACAAAGGTTACCAGCCTACTGGCAGGAGGAATCCAAGCAAGGCCACGGGAAGGCAGGGTCAAACTGAGGCAGGAGTAGTCAGCTAAGATTCAGGGGTGAGGAAAGGCTTTGGTGAGATAAGACCCCGACGCCAGAGAGGGCAGCCAATTGAATATCTGGTCTTGGGATGTTCTAGGCAAAGCAAAGAACAAGACAAAGGCTTTCAGCCTGGAATATACTTGGCAAACTGAAAGGCCAGTGTGGCTGGTGCCCAGTGTGAGAGGTGTACGAGATGGGGTCGGAGGAGGATAGAGAGGCCACATCATGAGGACCCTTGAAGGCCAAGGTAAAGAATATATTCTATATTGACAATAATGCATCTGCTAGTATAGATTATAGTTATTCCTTTCCAATCTACATGCCTTTTATTTCTGCTTCTTGCCTTTTGCACTGACAGAACTTCCAGAACAATATTGACAAAGGGGTTGGCAAGAAAAGACATCCTTGCTTATTCTCAGTCTTGGAGGGAAAGCATTTAGTCTTTCTTCACTGAGCGTGTGTTAGCTGGCAATGGAAAGACATTATGAAATATTTATCACAGTGTCTGGAATGCACACTTAATAAACACTGGCTAGAATTTTAAGTTCTAGTAGATTCATACAGCCCACGTCCATGCAGAGATGATCTTTTATACCCATAGTTTTCATATAAGCTTGTTCACTTTACAGCCAGCTCAGTTAGCGGCTAATGCATATTTACTGACCCTTAAATGTCAGTGCAGAATATCTTATTTGGACTCTACTTATCAGCAAATATAACCCTGCAATTTCAGGGGATCAATGATAACGAACATCCTGGTTTCAACATTACAGGCTTTTTAACATTAAAAAAATAAAAGTATTATGGTCAAATACATTTGGAAATTTTTCCTTATTTCAAGGCCTCTTTAAACCTTCAATATACTTATGAACATTATGATAATTTAAGAGAGATATATAGTATGCAGTATTTTCCAAAGCATCTTCAAGGACTAATGATCTAGAGAAATGCTAACCTTTTCCATAGTTCCAGCACACACAGAAAATGATCATCTATACAACGCAAGGGTTATAAGCCCCTGAATGCACTCAGTCTGAGGCCTCTGACTATCCCAAGTATTGCAGGGATGAATTATCTTGACAAATCCAAGACACACTACCTGGGAAGCTATATTCTACTTGGGAAATGGTGTTCCGTCAGTATTTTTTTCGTAGATTATGACAGAATACTAATGAACTATACCTATGAGCTGTAATCAACTTATTCTATGTTAAACTTAGCATTTACTGCGGGGGAACTTAATTGGAAACCCCTGCATCAGACCAAAATCCCTAAGGGGGCTGCAACTTCAATGAAAGGGTAGGTAGGAAAAAAAATCTGACTACATGCAAAAGAGGACCTACAAGTGAGCCTTTCCTGCCCATGCTCTGGGTGGAAAGGCTACTCTGGGATTTTTTTTTTTTTAAGATTTTATTTATTTAGGGGTGCCTGGGTGGCTCAGTTGTTTAAGTGTCTGCCTTCAGCTCAGGTCATGATCCCAGGGTCCTGGGATCGAGCTCCGCATCGGGCTCCCTGCTCAGCGGGAAGCCTGCTTCTCCCTCTCCCATGCCCCCTGCTTCTGTTCCCTCTCTCGCTGTCT